GAGGGATGGTGGGCCAGGCCCGTGTAGTGGAAGAGGCCCTGGGGATAGAGGTAAACCAGGGTGCCAGGGCGGGGCCGGCAGGGCAGGAGGCCAGGGCGGGGCCGGCAGCAAGAGCGGAGCCTGCCTCAATGAGGGAGCCGGCAGGACATGAAGCTTGGGCGGAGCCGGCAGGGCATGGGGCTTGGGCGGCGCCGGCAGGGCAAGGGGCTTGGGCGGAGCCGGCAGGGCAAGGGGCTTGGGCGGAGCCGGCAGGGCAAGGGGCTTGGGCGGAGCCGGCAGGGCAAGGGGCTTGGGCGGAGCCGGCAGGGCAAGGGGCTTGGGCGGAGCCGGCAGGGCAAGGGGCTTGGGCGGAGCCGGCAGGGCAAGGGGCTTGGGCGGAGCCGGCAGGGCAAGGGGCTTGGGCGGAGCCGGCAGGGCAAGGGGCTTGGGCGGAGCCGGCAGGGCAAGGGGCTTGGGCGGAGCCGGCAGGGCAAGGGGCTTGGGCGGAGCCGGCAGGGCAAGGGGCTTGGGCGGAGCCGGCAGGGCAAGGGGCTTGGGCGGAGCCGGCAGGGCAAGGGGCTTGGGCGGAGCCGGCAGGGCAAGGGGCTTGGGCGGAGCCGGCAGGGCAAGGGGCTTGGGCGGAGCCGGCAGGGCAAGGGGCTTGGGCGGAGCCGGCAGGGCAAGGGGCTTGGGCGGAGCCGGCAGGGCAAGGGGCTTGGGCGGAGCCGGCAGGGCAAGGGGCTTGGGCGGAGCCGGCAGGGCAAGGGGCTTGGGCGGAGCCGGCAGGGCAAGGGGCTTGGGCGGAGCCGGCAGGGCAAGGGGCTTGGGCGGAGCCGGCAGGGCAAGGGGCTTGGGCGGAGCCGGCAGGGCAAGGGGCTTGGGCGGAGCCGGCAGGGCAAGGGGCTTGGGCGGAGCCGGCAGGGCAAGGGGCTTGGGCGGAGCCGGCAGGGCAAGGGGCTTGGGCGGAGCCGGCAGGGCAAGGGGCTTGGGCGGAGCCGGCAGGGCAAGGGGCTTGGGCGGAGCCGGCAGGGCAAGGGGCTTGGGCGGACTCTTCCCCCTCCTCCGTTTCCGAGAGGGTGGCACTGCAGCTTCGTCTGCCGCCTCCGGGGGCGCTGCAACCTCTTCGGCCACCACCAGGAGCGCTGCAGCTTCATCGGCCGCCTCTGGGGGCACTGCAACCTCTTCGGCCACCACTGGGGGCACTGCAGCTTCATCGGCCCCCTTCGGAGGCGCTGCAGCCCTTTTAGCTGGGGAACGTGCCAAGAACTCTACAAACCCCTCAAAGGAAACATGATCGCATCCTGACATGCTCCAGGGACTAATGGGCTCATCAAGGGCATAACTGAACAAGTCCTTTAGCGCGGAGTCTTTGTAGCCCAGCCCCTCTGCAGAATAATGGGGTAACAAGATGGGCGGGGTCAGACAATAGACAGGAGAGAGCACATGGCAACAAACAAACACAACACAAGCCATGTGCTCACAGAACACAGTCATCTGGTGGCCATCCTGGGCACACCCGCTGAAGACGGTGACAGAACCATGTCATCACATGCTTCTTCATCCTCCATGAGCACAACATTTTATTATGCTAAAATTAAACTTTAGCCATAAATAAATTCCAGCATTTATAGGAACGGACACACCTGAAGATATAAATATACTTAAGTCATGCCATGCTATATTGATGTTATTTTTTCCTGCATGGCAAATATGTACTTTCTCATTTGAAGCTCAGTACAAAGAATATGTCATCAGTGTTCTGTAAGTATGTCACCCAGAGAGATTAAAGTAGTTAAAACTGTTTATGTAACTGGGGCATCTCTCATTTCATCAAAAGGTTACTTCAGTACATGAGGCAACTTACAATGGACAGTTTTAGGACTGTAGATATATGACCAACATTTGCTTTGAAAATCATTGTCAGATGCAGCTCCTTCAGGGCCAAAAATTAGTCAGTCAACGTTTATTTGTCACTCAGCAGTATATGTGTTGCTTTACAACCTCACCATTGGGGGAAGAAAAGCTAAGCTTTTCAATGGCCACATTTCACTGTACAGAAGTGCAATCAAAATAACTGAAATCTCTGTTCAAGGCCAGATCTTCTGCCTTGAAGGCTCATCTCATAACAGTCCCTTTCAAGAATGCAGTGTTTCAAACACAAACTTATTCACTGACCACATTAAAATGAGAAACTCTGCAGCACTGCTGAATACAGCACACAGAAGTACACTGCTAATTTCTGTTTGCTTATGCAGAGGACATATTTACCCTCATTACCATTCAGGGCCCTTTCCCATCCACTTAATGACATTCAGCTGGTCCCGCAGGTATGCAGGCCATGGAGAGGTGTAGTCAGCACAAACCGGACTCATGCTGACTGAGGCATTAAGCAACAGTTCAAAGTCTCGTATTTGCTATATCCCCTCTCAAAGCCCACCTAAGGCCAATTAGACAGTGAGGAAAGAACCACAACAGACGTACTAGAGGTATGAAATGCGAAGCTGCCGAGTTTGCACTTGGGTAACATATCCCAACGGATTTCTTGTACTCAAGTTGATGTGTGTCAATAAAATCTGCCATATGTCCCTGGGAGAGTGTGTTGGGTAATCCAAGTATTAGGTATATTTTGTGTGCTTCATCAGCTCCTTTTTTAGTTAGATCTGCCCACTGAGGGACCTTCTGATTGGCATATTTACAGTGCACTTGCAGTTAATGCATATTTCAACATGTTCACTGTCTGTGTGAGTAGTCATTAGTGTTACTTTATTGGCATGCCAAGCTCTTTTAAAAACATCAAGCGCACTCATTTTTCATCTGCCTGAGAGATCTTTTTGCCAAATGCCATTGTGAATAATTTAAGTATTGGGTATCGGGTACTAATGTTTAATGTGTTTTTTATATACTTGATCATGGTGTTTAAAATAAATGACATTTCTATTCCACACAAACCTTTTTCACTGTCTACAGAAGGCATATATGTTCAAACTAAAAAAAAAAATTCTTACATAAAAGCTTATATTGTGAATGACTTATTTGTTTTCCCTTAGAAGTTATCTCTTTTTAAAGTTTGAGTTCTTTCATCTGTTTTCTTGCTCCCCTTTTTAAAGCCTGACATTACAATACACATCAAATTTATATGTTTTTATGTATTATATTTGCATAATTCAAATGATATTAATAATTCAATACATTATTTTTGTTATAATAGATGTACCAATATATCATATCATGTGTTGTCACTTTTATGTAAATCATACAGTATTTCTAATGTGAACTTAAGTATCTATTCAGAAACTTAATTTTGAAAAAGTTTCTGTATTGCAATATGATGAATTTGTTTTACTGTACTAAAATATGAAGCTGTTATGATTTTTGATGTTAATGTATACTCTAACATTTGAAATACACCAGCTTTAATTCAAGTAAGTTAATTATTTATTGAAAAAATTGAACAAAATGCAGAAGAGTCACATAACACATTTAGAGAAAAAGTACCATACAGATTTATGTCTCAGTATTAGTTTTATAAGTCTTATTCAGGTACCCTAACCCTACATTATATAATACATAAATATATATATATTGCTTCACATTACCACTAACAAAACCCCCAAATCTTTGGATTTGTTTCCCAACATGACATTTCAGACAGAATTAAGACCTTAGACATCTCTAGAGTTACTAAAACATCAATGCAAAAACTATTCCTGGATGATCCTAAATTGCTTGTGAAACATGAAACATGTGCTACATGTATATAAACATGATTGAATATGTAAGTTCTCATCCAGTTTTTTTTTCTTTTCTCATTTCTTATAGCCACCCATATATCCTCTCAGGAAGTCCTCAAATCGTGGAACTGGATACTCAGGTGCCACGTGTTCAGGGAGAGGGTTGCCGTGAACTTGTTCTTGCTGAGCCGGCTCATCTTTGTGTTCTTGACTTGTGGATTCTGCTCGGTGCAGACGGCAGTTGTAATCCATTTCTGGGTCACAGTCCGGATGGGGCTCAATGATGCCGTCTTTGACCCTCTTGGCTGCTTCAGCTCCAGTGGACGTCTGAGGGGCAAACTGACCACAGTTGGGGTCGTACGGGTGGCAGTTGGGTTTAGAACTGGCAGCACTTGCCCTCAAGTCCTGGTTCTCTACCGGGGTGCAGTCCTTGTCATAGAACATGTAGCAGTCATAACCTTCCTTGGTCTTCCCACGGATGCCCAGGTGGTGACGGGTCTGGAACTCCGGGAGAACCGGAGGGGGTTTCCTGAGAGCAGCGGCTCCACCCATCAGACAATATGGATCGTAGCGAGGGTCGCAGGCCAGGCTGAGAGGTGCAGGCTCTTTTGGAGCATATTCCAAGACAGGCTTATTGAGTCCAGCTAGTTTGGCAGCTGTAAGGGGGTTGCAGCCCTCTTCAAACAAAGGGTTGCAAAACTGCTCTTTGGGGGCTTCTGCGTTCCCACCGGTTTGGGCTGCAGGTGCAACAACATTGGCGACACAAAGGGGGTCAGTGGCAGGATTACAGGTAGGATACAGGTGATACAAACCTGAAGGTGATCTGGCCACCAGCTTGGGCTGGCAGTAAGGATCTTTGGTAGGATCACATCCAAGGTGAGCGTAGGAGGGCAGAGGGCCGAGCGAGGGCCTGTAGCCGTAAGCAGCGCGCAGGTGGTACTGCAAACACTCTGTGTCCAAAGGATTGCATATACGTAACAGTTCCGCCCTCTGCTCAGCTGACAAGAAAGGCTCTAATACCGGAGCGTGGTAGTAGTAACCTGGTGGGGTTTTCAGAGGCAGAGGTAGTAGAGGGGACAGAATCGGAGCAGGGACCTTTTCTTCTTCTGCAGCTTTTGGTCTAACAGCATAGAGGCAGTAGGGGTCGAGGTAAGGGTTGCACACTGTCACAGTAGCTTGCCTCACAGGAACTGGCATGACCATCTTGGCTTTGGGTTTGCTGGTGGATTCTGCAATGCAGTCTGGGTCGTCAGAGTTGGCACAGGCTTTGTAAATTTGGCTCAGGTGAGTGAGGTAATGATTGTAGGAGCGTCCCTCTTCTACTCTGTGCTTGTTCTGGAGGTAAACAAGGTACATGCGATCCATGTCCTCAATCTGTGGAGATAATCACAGAGAAATAACATTGGGCTAATTTAATCACTCTTGTCGCAATTTTCTGTAAACAGTTCTCAAGAAAGTTGGCTTATTTACAAGACTATTATATGAAATAGAAAAATCTCAAAAAGATTATAACCATGACTAGCAATCTTAGTTTTCGTTTAAGGCTACTCACTCCCTCCTGGTTGTTGGTCTGCATGAAGTATTTATACCAGCCCCAGAAATCAGGTAGACTCCTGTAGTAGGCAACATTCCTCCTGCTACGGACCAGCTTTTTCAGTGATGACGTGCTGTCTGTCTTCACCTCTATAACTGAACCAGCGCATGACAACATGAAGTGTCATTTAAGCATCATTTAAATACTATTCAGTATTTCCCTATTTCTTTTCTTTTTCTTTTTTGAGAGTTGTATAAAAAGGTGTATTTCTTTTTAAGGGGACCACATTTAGTGAGCAGAATTAAATGAAATCATTCAGAAATCGTTCTACTATGCTGATTTTGTGCTCAAGAAACATTTCTTACTATTATTAAAGAAGAAGGCAGTTTTGCTGCTTAATATTTTTTGGAAACCTTGATACTTTTTTCCCCCATAATTCTTTGATGAATAAAGGGGTGTACTGAAAGTTTAATTTAATACATCTTTGCTGAATAAAAGTATTTATTTAAAAAAAAATCTTACTGACCGCAAACAACAGTGTATTTTATTAATTACAATTTTGACTAATTTACTATTATTATAAAATATGGAAAACTCTTTTGATTGGCAGTGCACAGGATGAGTATATGAATAAAAAAGAGAGGAAAATTCACTGAGTGAAGATATGATTGCATTCTTAAGAATCTTTGGGTTCTTTGCTTTGCAAGTGTGTCCCAGTCCATAACTATGATTTGTTAACATTTTCTAAATGTATAACCTAAAATGACATTAAGAAAGAAGGAGATTATATTTTGGGGCCAAGATGTAGAGAAGCTCTGTGTGAGACAATGATCCACTACCATGTTGCAGTTGTGCAACATAATGATTCATGTTAAATTGCACATCAGAGCTGTGATGTTGGGGCCATTTACAGCATAGCTGATGATATAATTAGACAAAAAAGTCCAACTCACCATCCTTTTCTTCACTGCGTCCTACAGGACCAGCACTCAGAAAGTCTGTCAGACATTAAAAAAAGAAAAGAAAGGAAAGAAAAAACTATTTGAATTGTTATGAACCAAATGTCAGACTTCTGAAATGAAGGAAAATGCAAACTGACTATGACTGCACAGCAGGCACTTTTCCCGTCAACGGAGCATGTGTCTTATTCTAGTGATTACCACTCTGTCTCGGCTCTCTGAGAGCTCTAAGTGCTTTAAAATGGGGCTTAAACTTCCAGGACCCCCAGCAAGTGTACCTGTTAAACTACAAAGAGATTGGGGAACCATCCCACAGGCTGCTGCTATAATTACCACTGCTGTAAAATAAAATGAAGGATGTAAAATGTTCTGTACGTGCAACATTATTTGTGGCATATATCTCCAGTTGGTCTCTTTAGATGTTTATAGCTCATGGAAAATGTACAGTTGGTTAATATTCACAAGGTCTCCCTTTTCCTATATGGAAACTGTTTGACTGAAATCACTTTACAGAGGTGTTCACAAAAAAAGAATAACAATACACAATGCTCATTTGTTTTCTCTGGTTCTGTAGAAACCTTGGTTTTGGAAAATACTACAAAGTTTCTGCAGTAATAGTAACCAAATGTGCTTTGTTTTATAGATGGATGCGGAGTCATTTGGTCCATGCTTTATAATGCTCTGGTGATTTACACTGAGATTGAATTGTGGAAAATATTCAGGATAACAGAATATTTTGTTTTTATCAAAATGGATTCTCACCTGGCATAAAGACAGTTGCAAGAGCCATGGCACAGAACATCACCGTACGTCTGGCCATTTTTCTTGATTAGTTGAGTCCTGAAAACAAAAATTGAGAGAGCGATCCAGATCAGGGACATTTTCAAAATAATATTCAAAATAATGTCTGATCAGTTGGGTTTTTCAATAGTTGAACTAAATCAAGAAATCAAGAAAATCTTCATTTGGCATGTTTTCCATTGACAAACACTTTATAAATAATACAACAGATATAGAAATCCATATGAGATTCTCTCTCTCTATATATATATAACCAGTAACCAGTTACTTAACCAGTAATATATACATACATACATACATACATATATATATATATATATATATATATATATATACATTTTTCCCCCAGTGGTCATACCTCAGCCTAATATTATTCTGTCTGTATCAGTCCTTACCTGTTCTAGCAGAAATGTTTGAAGATATTGCTGGTGGGCTCTGAAGGGGCGTACTGAACTCTTCACACAACCTCTGCACTCCCCTTCAAACCCTCTGAACTGCTGTTGCGAATGGCAGCATTTTTAAGGTGCTCCATGATCATTAAGAAAAAAAGGCATGTCATATGTCAGGAGCTTGCTGTTAGCCTTTTTGGGATTGGCTCTTGCTAAATCAGCTCATTGACCAATGAGAGTCCTGTAATTAGGAAGAAAAGCAGCAAGATCCAACTTGGAAGAGGGGAGCCGGAGGGATGCAGAAATAATCAAAGAAATACCTTTTTACTGATTGATGAATGAGGTGCCACATCTACCACTGAGACACAACCATGACAGAAAACCTGAACATGGAATACTTTTCCCATTCTGCCATATAAATTATGACTTTATCAGTTCGTGCACTTTAGATTATTTCACCAAGAGCAGTTTACCCTTGAATGTCATATTATTCTGAATCCTGCAGCTTTGCTTAGTATTATGCAGATTTATCAAGTAAAGTAAAGAAATTGGCAGAAATGTTGTGTTTTGTTTTGTTTCATTTTATTTGTTTTGATTTATGTTTCTAGTGCATCACAATGAGGATTGATTAGGATTTAAGACAGGTTTGTTGCATAATTAATTTTATCACTGTAAAACTGTAAAACTTTGTCAGAAAGTCAACAGACTGTTTGCAAAGATATACAACGGTCGGTATATATAGGTGAGTTAGAATTTCTTGTGAATATACATGTATTATTTTAAAAGGATAATTTACCCAAAAATGAAAATTCTGTGATCATTTACTCTCCCTCAAGTTGTTCCAAACCTGTGTGAGTTTCTTTCTTCTGTTGAGCACAAAAGAAGTTATTTTAAAGAATGTTGGTAATCAAACAGTTGACGGTAGCCACTGACTTCAATAGTATGGAAAAAAAAAATACTATGGAAGGCAATGGCTACTGTCAACTACACAATAAAGAAACTCACGCAGGTTTGGAACAAGTGAAAACTGTAATGTAAGCTAATTAAAAACCAGACTCACGCTGTTAAAAAAAAAAAACTCTCCCCAACAAGCAGATTCCTGTCAGCAGCTTGCTTTTTAAAGATGTTATCTGGCAGTTTCTTCACACTCACTAAATATTCCACAGGAAAAGCAGAAAGTGTTGGCCACTGTCATAAGAAACTGATGGTAACTGAAGGTCAGAGAGTTACAGGATGCTATAAAAAATCAGGTTTGGGTTAATGATCCGAGGTGACTACTTTTTATTACAAGAACATCATAGATCAGAATGATGGCCTGTCAAATATCATTTCAGGTGATTCCTTCCCAGGCCACTATATTCAGCAAAAATATGTAGCCTAAGCTACAGAATATGGTGGCAGCCTGATTTAGGAATTACAACTAAAATATACAAAACATATACTGTCCTGTATGTGACTGAATGTTTAATAGTGTCTACTAAGGTCCATTCATCATGATGATGGGACGGCCAGATCAGCACGTCCACTGTTACACATACAGTATAATTAATCTTCAGGCTTGCTGCAAACAGGTGTTTTACATAGCACATAAACCTGCAATCCAACCTGGAAGCAGCTGAGCACACAAACACGATATGGCCTCATAATTTCAACATACCACATGTAGAAGAATGTGACGTTCGCTCAGAATTTTGGAACACCTGGCGCCAGAGAAGACTTTAAAAATCACTAAGAAGAAAAAAACTCTTTACCCTTCACTGAAGCTATTTTTTTATTAATATATACAGTATCTACCAATGTCTACCAAATGTCTACTTATCTTTCCACAAATATCTAATTACCCTATTTCACAAACTTTAGTGAAATAAGTGATTTTAACTTGTGACAGGATGAGTGTGGTTGGAAGGTCAAGGTGGTAAAACTTCTGCTTTTTTATTTCTTTTTTCACAGTTCACCTGTATGTCTCTGTAGAGTTTTACAAGACTAGAAACAGGCCAGCTTTCACGTCTTCTCACCGGAAAATAGGGCAGAACACTTTTCCTTTCCTTCCACACATACAATGGCTCCGAAAAAGTATTCAGACACACCTAAAAATGTGTGAATATCAAAATATCAAACCAAGTGGCATTTTTCTTAAAAGCATATCACAAACACTCTTTTCAAGCTAATTTTCAAATGCTAAAAAAAATGCTATTGTTCAAAACAAATTGACAGTTTCTGGTTGTCAAACTGGGACCCACTTTATATTAAGTGGCCTTAACAACTATGTACTTACATTTAAATTAATAATTTGGTACAATGCACTTAATGTGTACATACATGTTTTTACATTGTACTTATATTTTAAAAATACCTGCATGTAATTACATCTGTAATTCATTTCTGTAATTACATTTGTAATTACACAGTTGACCCATCCCTTACACCTTAACCCACCCTTAAACCTACCCATACCACCAAACCTGTCCCTAACCTTACCCGTATCCCACCTCAATAGCAGCAAACGTGTTTTGCAATACAATATGAACACAATAAGTACATTGTACTTAATTTTTGATGTAAGTACATAGTAGTTAAGGCCACTTAATATAAAGTGGGGCCTCAAACTGTCTATAGTCAATGTGATGAACTACATATCTGGTTACTCTGAATGAGATGCATGAGATGTTGTCTTTTATATTTCTGCCATGCTTTTCCCAAACCAGCAACACGATTTGTAAACAACCGCATTTTATGGAAAACTAAAGGTCTTTCTGGAAAGAATTCAGGCTTGCTTTCATGTAAGAAAAAAAGCCAAGTAAACAGAAATGATGTGTATGACACCGTGTAATTTACATGCCTGAAAGGACAAGTAACAGAATCTGTCATGCATAATTTTATATATTTCAATGTGTGACATGGGTGACATGAATCAATGGTATTAAAATAAAATTAAGATAAATGAATACAAATAATATGTTTATGAAACTTTTTCTTATATGCGTTATCTGCATTCATCTATATTGTGATAAGCAAAGTAATACAATAGGTCTGTGTTACTGTGCAAGCAATCTATTTAAATTTTTCGCTTTCTCATTCAGATCAAATTAATATGTGTGGCAAATCTGTGCAAATTTTTTGTGGCTTGTTTGATTTTTATTTTGGCCCTAAGACACAAATCACACCACATTACGCCACTCACTTCATAAAGAAATTCTGTGGTGGTAAAAACATCTCCTGCTGGGCCTGAAACTTTAAAGGACCACCAGATGCAGAATTATGGAACAGTTTCTTTTTCATTGTTTTAGTATGTTTAGCTATATCCTATAGTCACTCACGTAGCATCCAGTCAAAAACTGTACCTTTGTTCAAATCATGACCAGATATTTACTCAAAATATTGGTTTTGTTCTTTTTTATCTGCTTTAAGCATGTAATTATAAACATCTCTCCATTAAAAAAAAGCTGCATCGTATGTAGATAATTTATTTCACATTGAAATAAATTTAAACCATAATTTAAATAGATTTGAATAGTTCAAAATGAAGCACTTTAATTAATCTCTGATGGGTATAACTCATTTGCATTGGATAAATCCTGCATAGTGGTGAGCATAAATTATACACGTTTGAAACATGACTTTATTTTGTTCTGCTGACTTGAGGAATTGTTTAGGTGATGTATGGACAGCAGGGACTGGCGCTCTCTCTGGAAGCGGCAGGTCGCAGCGCCACTTCCGGTGGCATCCCCAGATGCCACTATGGATGGTGTGCTTTACAGGTGGACTATGAGTAAATCACCGGGTGCTGTTTAAAAGTGTCAGATTTATGAGGAGAAGCGTTCCTCCTCTTTACCTGGCAAACCTACAAACAGTGAAAATAGCTCATATCTAACCAGTACCTGGATCTAATGATAGTGAAGCCATTTATTATCGGTTTAATCATGCATTTGGTGACAATTAGCAATACACATTATCATTACAATTTAATTAATATTATTAGTCTCCTTTCCAAAATATATTATTAGCATTACAATATAAAAAAAAAGTCAAATAGTCCTTAATTTCTTAATGTTTATTAGAATAATAACCATTTATTTTATAATTTATATACAATTATAATGAATTAATCTCTGTCTTTCAAAATGATAAAACATTATTAATTTCCACGTTTAAATGAAGAAAAAAGTCCCAGATTCAAATTTGAACCGCACTGTATATGTTCTGACCCCATTTAGAATTGTTTCAAAGTCACTTAAAATATTTTCCATTGCAAAACCTCATTCAGAATAATGACAAAAACCACAATTTTGAATCATACGGTTTTAATTACATTCTGGAGATTGTTTATATACACCTATATTTTGCTAATTTTCTTCCGCTCTGACAGACAAACTTGCACAAGCATATAAGGCAATCATATGTGTGTGGCAGCAATCTAATAGGAGAGATATATAGGAATAAATAATATATTTAAATGTAAAAAAAAAAAAGTTATCAAATTTACACTGATTAGAATCATTTTTGGATAGCAGTCATTATAGTGACTGGCAGAAATTCCTATTCAGCCACTGTGCTATAGAAAGCATTTAATACATTAAAACAGAATGTATAATACATCAGTAGTTTGTTAGAAACACTCAATTTAGATACA